TGAGCACCAGGCCACAGTGGGAACAAGGAGAGATGCTGTAGGGCAAGCAGGGAGTCCCTTGTCTTCAAAATCACCTGGCTGGGAAGAATAACCAGTGCTTGTGCCTGTGGACACTCTTGGAGGAGACAAAGAGCTTTTGGCAGGTCACCACCGTTTTTAGCAGAGCAGGAGCTGTGCCCACCACCCTGTAGCTCCAGACCTTTGTGGGAAGCCCCAGCAGTGTTGGAGATGGGCCATCACCGGGTCCTGCAGGTCACTCTGGGGTGCTGGGCTGGAAAAACCCTGGTGCTCAGCACGGGGGCTCTCTGGGATCCCACCAGCCCAACAAAACACGCTGGCTCTGCTGGGGACTTGGGCACAGCAGGAACGGCCCTTAGAGCCTCCCACCCCCCTCTTCTCCACTCTCCCCTGCAGTGCCCTTGGATCTGGAAGAAGAAGAGCAGGACTACATCCCGAGCCGGGCAGACATCAAGAAGCAGGGGCAGCAGCTGGTCAGGATGAACACCAAACGCCGCAAAAGGAAGTAGCTTTGGGAGCCCCAGGCCACCCCTCGTGCCCTTTCCCCAGCAGGTTTATTAAAGCAGATCTTCTTCATTCCTCCCAGTTCCGTGGCAAAGCTGGAATGGGGGGTCTTTTTGTCACTTCTGTCACCCAGAACACGTGGGGGGCCCAGCACTGAGGGGCTGAGCTGGGTTTGGGGGCAGCCCCTGCCCCTCGCCCGGCTGCTCCCCCCACAGAGGTGGGGATGGGCTGGGTGGGCACAGCTTCCCAGCTGGAGCAAAGATGGGGGCAGGCTGGCCTTCTCCCCCTTGGTCCTGTGGGGCCAACACCTTCTTGGGACCTCTGCCCCACCAGCCAGCTCTGGGCCCCTGATGGGCCGGTGTCTGCCTGAGGCGGCGATGGGGAAACGTGGGGAACAGGCTGAGACCCGTGTGGCCCTCAGGGTGAATGTTTTTGGGAGCAGAAGGGCAGACCCTGCCTTGGAAAGAGCCAAACCTGAGCTGAAGCCCCCAGCCTGGGGCTGCCTGGCCTCCCTGCAGACCCTTTGTGGCTGTCCCCTCCCTGGTCCCTGCACACACCCCATGTAACTCCTACTCACAACCCTGAACCGGAGCAAGCCCCGGGTGTCACCTGAGGGCTGCAGGAGGGGCTGGAGCTCAGGGGGCCCCAGCCTGGCCCAGGACAGCAGAGGATGCTGCACCAAGCCCTTGGCTCCAGGGTGAGACCCTCAGCCCTGCTCATGGGTCACGGACACCCTCCCCTGGAGGCCACCTTGTCACCTCTGCTCTGGTGCAGCAGTGCTGCAAACAGATGGTGCTGTTTCTCCAAGGTTCTGCCTGTGGTCCCGGACAGAGATCCAGGATAGTGGCACCTGGGCCACTTCCAGGGGAATATCAGCATCAGAGCAGCCTTTCACTGCCATTTCTGGCAGCCTGGGCTCTGTGCTTTGTGCTGCCATTGCTGGTGGAATCGTCACTGGGGGAAATGGCCGGCTCTGCCAACCCCCTGAGCCCCCTGGCAGGTCACCCAGAATGTTCTTGGTGGGTCTCATGTGCAATGGGAATTGTATTTTCAAAACACAGCACAACTTAAGTGCTTTCAAGGAAGCTCTGGGAAGCTTCCCACACAGCCAGGAATTCCTTCCCAGTATCCCATCTAACCCTGCCCTCTGGCAGTGGGAAGCCATTCCCCCTTGTCCTGTCCCTCCATGCCTTGTCCCCAGTCCCTCTCCAGCTCTCTTGGAGTCCCTTTAGGCCCTGGAATGGGCTCTCAGGTCTCTCTGAAGCCTTCTCTTCTCCAGCTGAACCCCCCCAGCTCCCTCAGCCTGAGGAAGGTTTCAAGCTCGTGGTCTGGTTTTCCCACTCTGAGCGTGGGGAACAGAGAAGCCACAAAGGTGTTGAAGGCTTTTCTCTGCCAGAGCTGGATGGAGGATTTGCTCTGTGGCCCATTTTCCAGCTGGAAGGTAATTCTGGGATGTTTCAGCTGCCCTTAAAGGAGGGGAAGAGCAGCAGCACAACCACGGCACCGGGTTTTCACCTCTCTGAACTCCCCCAGCTGTGAGCGGAGTCACCAGGGCTGTACCTGCTCCATCAGGAGCATCCATTGGATGCGTTCAGACACCGCATCCCAGCCCTCCTCACGTCTCCAAGGCGAGGGAAGGGCTGTCACCCCCCAGCCGGCAGCTCCCGGGCACGCAGCCGGCGCCGGGTGCAATCGGAGTGACTGCTCCTGGCTCCCCGGGATCCCGGAGAGGCGGCGCCGGGAATGGATGTGACAGGGGGAGAAGAGGTACAAGAGGAGAGGGGGGAAGGAGCCAGAGGGAGAGCCTTGGCTTCTGGGTTGGAAAGGAGTGGGGAAAATGTGGGGCTGAAGGGGGGGTCTGCCATAGGGGAAAATATTGTTAATAATGTAAGGAATAAATGAGGGGAGGGGAGGGGAGGGAAAAGGGGAAGGTTTGGGAAGGTTTGGGAAGGGAAGGTTTGGGAAGGGAAGGTTTGGGAAGGGAAGGTTTGGGAAGGGAAAGGGAAAGGGAAAGGGAAA